AAGAAAGTTTGAAAAGAAGGTAGCTCAAGGTGCAGAATGACTCTGCTCAGGAACTAGCTAAGTATCAGTCAGCATGTGGTAAGCAACTGCTTGTTCATCACTTGTTTTATACATACACACATACACATATAAGTTTGTAGATAGATACATCACACAATCATAGAATGGCCAGGGTTGGAAGGGACCTCAAGGATCATGAATCTCCAACCCTCCTGCTACTCAGGGTCACCAACTTCCACATCTAATACTAGACCAGGCTGCCCAGGGCCCCATCCAATCTGGCCTTGAACACCTGCAGGGACAGGAAATCCACAACCTCTCTGGGCAGCCTGTTCCAGCACCTCACCACTCTCACAGTAAAAATCTTCCCCCTTTGTGACTAAGCAGTACCAAGAGCAGAGTACTTGTTCTCTCGATTACAGAGATCAGTGCCACAAAGAAAACAACCTCTTGCCTGGTTATTCCTGAGCCTGAAAATCGAATTTGGAAGGAGATGAATTATTTAGGAATATGCAGCGTACTGAAAGGCAGAACTTGTCCCAGCCCAGGATTCCCTCAGACTATTTATGTCGAGCCAAAAAAAGTAGAAGTCTTTCAGATAAGCCAAGGTCTTAAGAAAGAAAGAAAGTTTACAACAACAGGACTTTATTCTCTGAACTCCGTAAATTCCCAAAATGCAAAACCAACCTTCCTGAATACCACTAATACTAACACGGAAATCAACTAGCCATGTTACAAAGCGATCTCTCAAATTTCAAGAATTTAAGAATGAAAACCAGAATTCCAACACTTCAATTTATTATCATAGTTTTTAATAGCACATTGGTATCTTTAGCAATATTTGAGGGATCAAAGTTCTGCAACAGACTGATACATCTTTAGCTACATTCTATCCTTGCTAGCTTTTTCCTTTTTTTTTTTTTTTTTTGGTTTTCACTCGTCTTCAGATACTGAGAAGTTATTTGTACCCATTCAGAAACAAACAAAACACCAGTATAAGATGACACGGACTCAGTAAAATGTACCTGGAAGTTCTGCAGCTAGAGAACAATCCTGATCACAAAGAGCTGTACATCAGCTCTACATACATACAGATAACAGTAATCACCCTTCCTTTCAATTCAAAACCACAAACCCACTGAAGTTCAGCAACTAAAATCTGCAAACAAGCACATTTACAGGCTGAAGCCCAACCAACTCTTGGGATTTGCTCCTGGCCCAGAAGAGAGAACAAGCTTAAGATTGACACTTCAAGTTCTCCCTTTCTGCAGCTGCCCATGGAGGCACATCCCACACAATGAGCCACACAAGAAAAGCTATGCAGCAGTGGGGAAGGAAGGGGAGGAGGGCTCACACACCTCAGGAAGCAGAGTGTTTGCCCATCGTTCCCTACAGTCACACTGACACGACATGGGGACAGGAACCACAGCAAGTGATGATAACTGCAACTGGCACTAAGAACTGCACCTGGAAGTCACAGAGCCAAAACTGCTTCCTGGCAAGGCAGCGCAGGGCACACAGCAGATGAAAGTTCAAGGGTGTCGTTTCAAAATATCTTTAACCAGCGCTACCGCAAAAAGCTGTCCTGAGTGTTCATTCCTATCCCCAGGTCACCTTCCCTCCCTTGCTTGCATAAAGAGGGGTGTGGGAAGGAGAACAAACAGCAACTTTTTTTTCTGTGCCGGATTAGTTTCAACTCCAATCAGCTCCCTGATCTGATTCACTGTCTGGCCATGCAAATATTCATGCCAGTATAAGCAAAAACATTGCAGAGACAGAACAAAAGGCCAGAGGTAGCAACAGAGCAGGACCAATTCTTTCAGAGATTATATCAGCTTAAAAGTGTTTGCAAACCCAATCTTAAAGAGCACAAATGTTTGCACCCACTTTAAAGGCTGACATTGAAAACCCTGTAGAAAAACTGGAAAAATGTGAAAGTGATGGCTTTGCCTGTAGACATATGAAATTAAGTGGAATAAGAGGTTTGTGTGACTTTTTGTATTGCTTTTTTAACCATATTATCCAATAAAATCAGGAAATGTTAGCAAAATTGAAAGTTAAAGAAAAAGAACATGAGTACACTCGTGCCATGCGAATTTTAAGATTGATAGCACAAGCTGAGAATCTTTGGACTCTCCAAAGCACAGTAAGAAGGATCCTGCACAAAAGGAATTCCTCAGTCCCTGATCACCAAGTAATATCCTTTTATTCATCCCTCGAACAAAAGATGCTACTGAACCACAGGGTAAGCATTTAGGCTCTTATGGTATTAGCTACCCACATCATATGTGTGTTCTGCCTTGACAGATGGCCTGTAATCTGGTCTCCCTTGAGGCTGAAAGCATCACATTAAGATTCCTAATTGGAGTAATACATTCATAAAATAATGACCTCAGTCAGTGTTTCCTGAAGTGGGTTACATCATTGTCACAAGAAAGTCTCAAGGCAATCAGAACAAGAAAAAAATACATATATTTTTTAAAAGAACTACACAGAAATATACAGGATGATAGTAAAACAAAATTATACTTAAACATATTGACACCAAATGCACAGTTCTCAAGTTCAAGGGAGCATTTACAATTGCAGACTGCTCACAGCCAGCTCTTACCCTTTACTGCAGGAGAAGAAACTGGGTTGCTGCTGACAATCAAGGACAGTTGGCTTTTCTCAAATTTGTATAAGAAAAGGGAAAGTAAAGGGCTAAGGAGTTAATTACACGTGCAGAGAAAGCATTTACAAGCTTTTGTTTTAAGATATATTGATTCATATGATGAATTCTGCAGAGAAGGACCTGGGTGTACTGGTGGACAACAGGTAGGCCATGGGCCAGCAGTATGCCCTTGTGGCCAAGAAGGTCAATGGGATACTGGGATGCATTAAGAAGAGCGTGGACAGCACGTCAAGGGAGGCGATCCTCCCCCTCTGCTCTGTCCTGCTGATTCCACATTTAGAATATTATATCCAGTTTTGGGCTCCCCAAAAAAGTTCAAAAAAGGCAGGGATCTCCTAGGAGGAGATCCATGAAGGGCCACAAATGTAATAAAGGGCTCCTCCTGTGTGAGGAAAGGTTGCCTGCTCTGGGGCTGTTCAGCTTGGGGAAGACAACTATGAGGGGTCTGATAAACATTCATAAATATCTAAAGGGAGGTTGGAGGCAAAGGGCTGACACCAGGCTCTTCTTGGTGGCACGTACTGAGAGGACAAGGAGAAATGGCCTAAAACTTGAACATACAAAGTTCCATAAAAGCACATGGAAGATCTTCTTTTCAGTAAGGGTGACAGAGCCCTGGAACAGGCTGCATAGAGAGGTTGTGGAGTCTCCTCCTGTGGAGATATTAGAGATCCATCTGGACTCCCACCTGTGTGACCAACTATGGGGAACCTGCTTTAGCAAGGGGTCGGACTCCATGATCTCTTGAGATCCCTTCCAATCCTACAATTCTGTGATATAATACTTCAATAATTTAACCTTTCATTACCAAAATTTGGCAGAATTTTTACATGTTTGCAAGCTGCAGCCTAGTACTTTCTCTCACGACACCACTGGAACTTTTGTCACTTTCCACCTTCAAAAGGAGTGCACTAGGTCTCGTCCTGTACACCAATCAAAATTCCACCATTGAAATTTTCAGCCTTCAGTTTTTAGCATAAAAGGAACAACCAGAAGACATTCGGAATTTACAGTCTTTTGTGCTAAGCTCCAGCTTCCTGCTCATTATGTGTTTAATGGTTTTGTCTGAGAAATCTAGACATCTATTGTGGCCAGTAAAACTGGCCAATCTTGATTTATCAAGGCTTACAGCTGAACCCAACCAAAGGAGCTTAAATCAGCTCAGTGACAGAGCAGACAACCAGTCATTTAAATCACACTTTTGAATACACTGGCTGCATTGACAAGATAGCTACTGACTACAACAGCAGCTTAGACATCCCAGGCTTGATTCATCTGTGCATACTTTTAAGATTCCTCTGGGTAACCAGCCTCCTCTTCAGCTTTTGTTCCCAAAGACCACTGGTCTCTCAGCCATCCTTGCCTTATCTAGTGATCCTTCGCAGTTGCCTCTGCTAATCTGAAGTATCTTAAAAAGGCAGAGACACTTAACTATTGTTTAAGAACGCTGCACTGCTAGCACAAGTGCAGGAACCTACATTCAGGCATCCGAAATGGAATCCCTTCTATTATGTTATTAAAGATCATTTCTAAGATGAGAAAGGTGTTAATCAGTGTGGACTAACAAAGACATAAAAAGAAGACACATGCTTTCAGTAGTACATTCATTTAGATACATCTAACATGCATTGCATTTCAAAACTTTTTGCTATAATTTAGTATGATTCAGATGTAACATGCATGCAATTAAAAATACATGTAGAAGTAGGTGCAGTTATCTCGCCTATACCAGATTTTCTTGTAAGCCTTATGAAGCCGATAATGTTATACAAAAGGTCAAATTGTCCCCAGCAATTTAATTCCCCATTCTCTTTCCAATTACCACAAAATACAGCATTATTTATAGACTGAACTGTATTCTACAACTTTCTTACAACTACAGATTTCATGTTCAAATTACAAACAGCCCCCACACTCCATACAATCTGAACTAACAGTTCCTTTCAGTAGATGGACTGAAGTCAATTTTTGGTTATACGTATCTGACTGTACTTGTGCTCATCGAGGAATATTTAATAGCCACTCAACATCCTATAATTTACAAGTACCAACAGATGTAAACCATTTTTATTTGCCATTTATTACATGGACTTCTTCCTCAGAAAAAGATTAAGAGTCATGTGAATAACTATGAGCACACCTCCAACCAACCCCAAGCCCACGCACACAAGTGTGGTAATTTAGTGGCAGAAAATCATTAATTGTTACTATAATTACAATTCTCACATAAGAAATCTTTTCCTACTCTCAGTCATGCTTGAAGGAAAGTCTGCTTGTGATGAGTCTTTTTACACGATCAATACAGCAAACTGAAACAGATACTTACGGTTGATGTGATCGATGTAGTACACACCAATCTGGGGATCATATGCAGCTTCCCATCCCCATGGTAGTTCATCCCCAACACAGTCCGCAAACGACAAGGGTTTTGTTAACCTAAAAGTAAAGAAACAAAGGTAAGTTTCTCTTTCCTACACATTTGTTATTCATGTTAATTCTTATTGTGACAAACATAATATAAAGACAGGGAGGAGAGAGAAGATGTTGTATTCCCCCTCTACCTTCCGCTTAAAGTTTAGGCTCTTGATTACTTTTCCCGTTTCAGCCTTCTGGATTCATCAACTCCAAGAACATAATATAAATTATTCCAAACATATCCCAGTATAGGCACTCAAGTGAGAAATTCACTGCACCATCTTTTACATTTGACAGCTTAAAATTAAACAACAATAGCTGAAAAAAAATATTAATAATCTACACTCCTATTTGTCCTCAGGGGAACTGGACTCTTCAACCTTGAGTCTGCGGTGACACTACAAGATTTGAAGGTAATCTCTTCTAATGATCTCAAAAAATACATAAAATATAACTAAGATGCACCTAGCAGCACTGACCAATCCAAGTACTAGAACAAAATTAAGAGTAGTAGGCATTTTATAAGCTTTATTTAATGGATATTCAGATGTTAATATGATTCATTTTTAGGAAGATACATAATTAACGTTTTTCATTTTAATAATCTGCTTGCAACAAGAAATAATTTGCTAACAGTAATACACAGAACTTTTTCAAACGGAGGCTGAGCAAAGCTTAACATCATGATGTTTTTCTTGCTTTTGGGGAAAGAAACGAGTATTAAGTACTGAGTTTCCTCTTGATAAACCCACAGCCATGTCACCCACATTAACAGGAATAACAAGAGAATTGAGGCTTCATTATCACAGTAACGTTAGTACGTAATTAGAATTCTTAAAAAGCCTGGAAGGAGGATTACCAAGAACAGTTTGCAAGACACATGAGCAACACCTCCTGTGCTGACTCAAGTATGATTTCTATCATGACATGAAGACAAGTAAAATGCAAGAAAGAATTTGAAAGCCAAGAGAGTTACGAGATATAACTGGAAAGGAAATAATATCTGAGAGCAAGGACTGAAGGAATGTCGCCTTTGTGAAGATCATTATCTGTGACATAATAACATATAACAGACAAACTGCTATTACATTCATTAACCATGACCCAGGAAAAATGAGGTTTACTGCAACTGTAATAGAGGATTAAGTGCCGCACCTCAGGGCACTGATATTCCAAGGTACTTTACAATACTTTTTCAGTTGGTGGTTATCAATTTACACGCTCTTGAAAGAATGTCAATACCCAAAAAAGGATGACCTGAAGTCCACGTTCAGTGTACCATGAAGCTGCATTAGTCGACAGAAGGTTGTTTCTTTCTAAGTGTACTTTCATTGACTTTAAGTATTCTCACTTCTGGGAAATACTTTTTTTTTTTTTAAAATAATTTTTGTAATTCCTTCCAAATGATGATTAATTTATTAGCCTTAAACTCATAATAGCAATTTTTTCTACTCAGTGCTATACTGCCGCAACACAACACTTCCATTGCAACAAATGGAGAGAAAAGCATCCTGAGGGCCAGGGAACAAGAAAAGTGTGTGTTTGTCTCAGGAAATGGCTGCTCCCAATTAAGTCAGGAGAAAATAAGTCAGGAGAAAATCTGTCACTCCATTATGTAATTATGCTGTTGCCAACCACTTCCCAGATGCTCTAGGAAACCTAGGAGAAAAAATATGGCTTACACATAGAGAAGCTATAGCACCACCTCATATTCACATTTTTCAAAATACAAAGTTATCTCAGACTTTAAATAGTAGATTCTGCAGTTATACATATCACCATTAATGATTAATATTCTCACTGACACGAATGCAGGCTGTATATGCATCTAAAGTTAATGAAGACGCTGATGATGTTGTAAAATGGAAACATAACTACAAATTGACAGATTGCCAATGCAATATTGTTTCATCTGGACAACTTTATGCATTTTCTTGCTTGAGATACTCCCTGAGACCACAAAAATGTACAGAAGAAATATTTCTTACTGAAATTAGTGTCTACAAAAACCAAGAAATTTACTATGTGAATGCTGTCTTTCTGTTAGGATGTGGACAACTCATGGTATTTCACACTTCTGTGATCATCAGAGTGCATATTCTTCAAAACGAGTGTGCGTATTACACTCACGCACGTGACATTTTCAGCACATCATTCTGAGCAAGAAGACTGTATTCTGCTGCATTCCTTTTCTGACTCCATTTCTCTCCAAGATCTCTTAAGAATGAAGGTGCTCATAACACTGGATATTACCCATATTACGATTAGGACTCTACTTTATCAACAGGAAACTCCAAACTTCAGTCTTTGCTCTCTTCTAAACTCAGCAGACTTCTGCAGCATATTTCAAGACCCGATTCTATGCATACACTGAAGAATTATTCTAGTAGAACTAGAGATGTTTTGCTTAGACTGACTTAATGTGATTTATAATACATAGGGATAGAGCACATGCCAAAGAGAAAAAAGTAACAGCAGGCACATCTCAGAAAACTGGGGGGTCAGGAGGAACATGAAGAGCAAACAATAAATCTGAGGCTCCTCTTTTCCTTTAGAAAACTAGAGGAACTAGAAAGGACAAAAATGCAGGTTGGTAAGAGGTGCATAAAAAATACCTGTTCGCTATGACAAGGTTCAACTTCATGTCTTTTAAAAAGACTTCCAAGAATACCTTTTTTGTTGTGTAATGCTTGACCTACAGTTAAGACTTGGAGTTTTGAATTCAATTATAACTAGGGTCAGTACTCAACTTCTATAGCAACTTCAATGTGTATTTGAAAATTCTCCAAATCCTAGTTATCCTCTACCCAAAATGACCTTGTGTTCCTTACCTTACAGCAATAATCTATAAGACACCTAAAGTGTTATACAGATCAAATTTCATACCCATTCATTCTTGTACACAAAACGATATATAATGATGCACGATACACATTATGTGCTTTCTCTTACAATGAAGGACTCACTATTACTTTTTTTTAAAAAGACTCCCAGCTGTTCTAAAATAAAAAAAAAGACATCTTCTTCATACCCTAGGAACTGAGTAGACAAAAGTTACATCTTTTGTACATCTACATTAAAACATAAATGAAGAAACCTAGTGACCACACGTATGCCTATCCTGGCTCACTTAACCACACACAAACCCTTCAAGAAGGCTGTACAGTAACGTACCAGTTACACAAAGCAACGTGACACAACTTCTGAACACCTCCTCACAAATACTTTCAGTTAGCACAAGGTCATGGAATAGGAAGTATGAGCAACACCAGCTAATTTCTTACTTACTTTGAAAAAGAGTAATTGAAACTACTACATTCTTATTTTTCTTTCAGTTGCTCAATTGTAATATTTAATGATCTGGTCAGAAAAGGAATGTAAAAATAGAAGAAGAAAAGCGTTTAAATTCTTTACTAGACCTCCTGATTTAGTGTTCAAGTTGGATCTTAAAAATCAATTCAACTCTGACCCCACTCTCTAATGCTTTAAGCATTGTGAAATTTGGAAGACCCATAAACCCATCTTCTCATCCCATCCTAAATATGCTGCCCAACATTCAGGCACCCAAGATGGATTTCTCATATAAAACTCAGGGGTGCAGTTCATCTCATTAACTTAAAGGCTTAGTTAGCTTACCCAAATTACTCCTTTACATTCCCCTATGGAGACTAATTCAGCACATCTGCTCAGACTGAGGATGAATCACACTCTGAAGGTTTCCCTCCTTTCCTACTGACTATAGAGACTGTCTAAATACAAGGCTCACGATCCAATAGAAGGTAACTAAATTTAGGCAGGACAAACGCTTAGTAGTAATGCCCAGGTAGCCAAGCACATGCAGAACTATTAGAAGTATCTCTGCATTGCAGGCTAGGGCAAGAAGGGGAGCACTGCTTTCCTCAACGGCTGAAGTCTGTATCCATTGGCAGCACAGAGTTACACTATGTTGGGAAGATAATTTTCTCTTTTACAAATCAGTATCTGAAGCTGAAAAAAACAAAACAAAACCCAACATGCTCCCTAAGTTTAAAAAGTGGTAACCAGGCCATTTACCTGAAAAGTGGCTGAGTTTGCATCCTCAGAGAACACTCTTTCCCTACATCCTTTGTTCGTTCAAGTCTATAACCATGCAAATCCCACACACCATTTCTCTCTCCAAAATCTCATTCATGATTCTGTTGACAGGATCTCAGTTTCTAAACACCATGTTCTTAGCACAGTAGTGCCTCTCATTCAGATACCAGTCCAAGACACTACGTATTTGTATTGCTTAGGTACATTCTGTTTTAATAAGGGTGTTATTAAGATAAACCATCGCTTCATTACGGGTATTATTTTGAAAGAGTAATGCAGTGGGCATCTGCATGACACGACAACACGTCAGAGAAGGACTCCTATAGTGGCAGGCTGTAATATTGTAGCAGTTGGTCCTTAAATAACAAAAGGTCAAGAGTCTGTTTATCTGGTTTCTTTCTGCAATCACTTTTTCAGTGAACAAATGCCCATATTTAAAAGGCAACAAACACACATGGCACCTTTTCGACACCAACACACAATAATCTAGTAGTGAAAATTAAATACTACTCCATTCTTTACGAAAGCTTTCGGTAATATCAGCTGATGCTGATTTATGCCATTATCCAGCCTAGCATGTGCCCCATCAGTCTCTTGCGTGTCACACACACATACACATGCTGGTGTAGATAGGCAGACACACCCAGCATTTACACGTAGCTGGCAGCAGCACCTTGGCAGCAGCGTGCCTTCTCTGCTTGTAGCACTGCAGGTACCGAAACTAACTGCAGAGTAGAAATTCACAGAGAAGCTGTGTACATTTAGCTGAAGAACACTTATTCATTCCACCAGCAGGTACGTTTTCCCAGGTACATTTAACATTTTTCACTCATTTCCCAGATTTCAAATCACTTTGTTCCTGGTAATAAAAAGTAAAGCAGTCAAATTTACAGACAAAGAATGAAAGCCTGCCTTGAACAGGAGAAGGTTCCAGCTTTCAAAAAAAA